TTTTTTTTTGGGGGGGGGGGTATATTATACTATAATTATCATAAGGAACCCCCAAAACCCTATTCTAATTATTGAGGCCCGTTTGCAGGACATCTGAATCATGTTTCCACGCCCCGCAGAGACCCTCTTGCTCTAAAGGCTTCTGGCCGAAAGGTGTGTTTCAATTTTACAACGGACCGTAAGAATACAACAATCCCAAAAACTTGAAGACTAACCCGCGAACCTCCCTCCCTCCCTGAATCTCCCACTCTTGGGAAGTTGCGATAAGCTCGCCTGCCTTCCCCCCAGTCGGAATTTGGGCTCAGCTTTCTGGGGTGTTTCGCGGTCCCTTTCCGTTACGCGAGTTTACAAGGCTTCAATCAATTTCGAAAGTCGGGACCCTAAACCCTATCCCTGAAGCCAGATCCTCACGGTTTTGTGTATTTAGCATAAGGTTTTGGGGTAGATTATACTGTAACTATAAAAAGGAACNNTAGTAGAGGTAATTATTTAGGCCCCTTTTTGGCCCTCCTACATTTTATTTCATGTAGAGGCCTTAATAATTACCAATAATATACTGGGGGGCTCCTTACTATAATAATAGTATAATATACACCACAGGCCCCTATATTAGCCTGCACTGTCACTGGCAGGGTTCAGAACCAAAAGATCTCCAGTGACCCGAAATTACGGCAGAGCAAGAGTAGTGCCTTCATATGTCTGACTCCATAGTCTTTTGACTTCGTCAGGCCGGATAGGGTTTAGGGTTTAGGGTTTAGGCGTTTAGGGAACATGATACTTTACGTAGACACACACACAGAGATTCTCCGGGTGTTGAAATGAGACCCGGGGTCACTTCGGCCTCGCCCGCACGTGTAGATGTCCCGGCCCATGAGGACCCATGGGGCGAGAAATCGGTCTAGCACCTGAACATGTGGGGGTTTTTGGAAAATAGAGGACCCTAATATAGTTCCCCAAATAGTAGGATCCTTATTATAAGGAACCCAAAATAAGGTACCTCTTATTTTCGGAAACTCCCATGTCGGATTTGACTGTGTGCCCCTGGATCAAGGAAAAAATCTGTTTAGAAGGCTTTTGATAACCGTGGCATGCATGGCGTGATTTAGAGTTGTCTCTCTTGCTGCAGCTTTGGGTTTAGAGGTTTGGCCTTGGAGACTTTCCACCCGAAGAATGTCCGGGTCCCCATGTTGAAAACGAGCAAAAGCCATGTTCGAAACTAACGCTCAACTCCCTTGATCTCCCTATAAGCTCAAAACCCTACATCCTCAAGTCCTGACCGTTTATCAAAGCCTCAACCATAGACACTCAAGACCCTATGAGCCCCAAAAGCCCCACGCCCGCGCGCCGTCTCCTCGTGCGGCGCCGCGCCGTCCTTGTCCACCAGGAGCGCCGGCACCTGCGCCTTAAGAAAAAGGTTTGCAGGTGCACTGCCCCGAAGATCAGCTCCAAGGATGATTGAGGTAAAGGTTTTGATGGGGATTAGGGATTAGGGTTTGGGTTTAGGGTTTAGGGTTTTTTTTGACACCTTTTTCCGACTGCATGTCTGAGTCAGAGAGCCCAGGGTTTAGGGTTTAGGGTTTAGGGTAAACACCACCCATAGGCCCGATAGTAGTTCCTTTTTGGGGGGGTCCTTTTTTAGAATCCTATAAGGTAATCCCAAAAAGGAACTACTACGGACCCTCTGGGTAGGCCTAGCTTCAGCCCTAGACCTTTCAACCTCAACTGGCCCTCAACCCTAAGCCCTCATAAACCCTGCATCCCTTTTCTTATAATGGCTGAGTACCTTATAGCCCCCAGAAGGTAAACCTTTTGAGTTATAGTAGAATTATATAAGCCCCACAAGTTTAAAGGTTACCTACTCAGCACCTAAGTTTTCTTGTTCCGGACAGGGCAGCTCTTCAACAGCAGACCTTGGGCCTCGGCTCTCGAAGCCAACCCCTCCAAGGCCCTCTAGACCCTAAAGGATGTCAGAAGTCCTAAACCCAAAATCCGAGAAACTATCAGCCCCAACTTCCCCATTTTTACCCATAAACCCCGAAACCCCTTAAACACCCCTAAAACCCGAGGCCAAGAAGCCCGGAGCTCTAAACCGTCTTGCTTCTCCTTCCTCCCATCAGAATCTTGCTGCCCGGGTGCATCACGCATGTTGCCAGTGACCACCAGCTGCGACCCTGGCGCCCACGTGCGTCAAAGTGACAACATCACGTGGGCTTGCCCGGACCAACATTTAGGGTTTAGGGTTTAGGGTTTAGGGTTCGCTATGCAGGAGAAGAGTGATTTTCAAGCTGGGGTTACTGTATGTATTTGTTTAGAGGCAGCTATATACATGTACACGTTCTCCGGCTAACTAAGAAGGACCCGGTCAATTCGGCCTCGCCCCAACGTGTGGATGTCCCGGCCCATGACGACCCATGGGGCGAGAAATCGATCTAGCACCTGAACTTGTCGGATTTGTCTGTGCAGCCCTGGATCAAGGAACACATGTTTGGAGGGCTTCTGATTACCGTGGAATGCATCGCATAACCTCGAACTGTTGTCTCTTGCTGCAGCTTTGGGCTGAGGGGTTTGCATTCCGAAAATGTCACCGTCCGCATGTGAAAACGGAAAACATCAATGCGCAACAGCATTCTAGAACAAGATAGCTGCAGTGTGTTGCATGCATCGTCACCTCCTACCTGCTTTGAGTTGTGTCTGCCGCAGCACACTTTCTGACATCGGGCCATTTGACTCTGGCTCTGACACCTCGGCTGCACGTCGCTCTGAACTTCAAGTACTGTACCAGATAGACCCATATACACGCCAAGAGAAGGAGAAGAATAACCAGAAGTTATGATAATAACCTGGAGCTCTGTCTGCAAGAACTCATCACTGAACATACTTATTTTGTACATCCAAGCATCGGCTTCCGTCGAAGTCTTTGTTCCCTGCACCGGCGGGACTCCCGAACCGTGCAAACAGAAAAACAGCACGGCCAGGTGGAGCAAAATTGCGTCTGCAGCCCGAAATTGCCAGGCAGCAAGAACTATCCCGCCAGATGCGGGATGAACCACCCGAGCCGAAATCCGAGTTGGGTTCTCATGCTTCAAGGCGCCTTTATAATACATGTTTACGGCCTGGTTGTCGGAAGCAGATACACTTCCAATCACACAGTTGCGCCTGCCACGGCACGCTTTCCGCCATCGGAGCCAGCCCGAACGACACCTGGGCCAGCGCTTTGGTTTGAAACTGTGCAGAAGTAGACAACACTCCCACTCCAGTCCCTACCAATAGTCTCTACTGTAGTTCCTTTTTGGGGTTGCCTTTCAGGACCCTTAATACCAATTTGGTGAAACCAAAAAAAGAACTACATTGGAGACTATAGGTAGGTCCTAGGCTCAGTCTGGGCTCACTGGCTGAAATGGGGGTTTCCCCCAAAATAGGGGACCCTAATATAGTACCCCAAATAGTAGGGTCCCTATTATAAGGACCCCCAAATAAGGTACCCCCCCCCTATTTTTGGAAGCCCCCAAATCACTCTGAAATCCAAGGCCGGGGCCATCGAACTCTCCACTGGCCCCGGCGCCTAGCGGCCGCGGGCAACGCTGCAAACAGACTCACAGCAAATTAGGGCTTAGGGTTTAGGATTCAGGGTTCAGCAGCTCCGGGTCGAGCTGTTTTACAGTAGAGTTACACTGACGTTCTAGACATAACACCCACCCACCC